GGAGCTTGTTTGTGAGCCAGCTTTTTGTGTGACTTTAGTTTGTGGAGATGCTGCTTTTGTCTGGTAGACACTGATCATCTGATCAATTATTTGTCACATCTACTCTCTCACATACACAGGATGACCTAACTTGCTTTTTTTTTCTTTTTAGGGATCTTTCCAAGGAGTTCACAAGTGTCCTTCTGACTTTACAATTTATTCACTTTCTGTAAAACACTGATCATCCAATCAGTTATCATGCCCTTCACTCAGCACAGAATGCCATCACTTGTAGAATAAAGCGCCACTTTTTGTAGGTATTTATTCTATTTCATCATCCTTAATCTTCCTTGATTCCCTTTTATTCATCGCTAGAGCCCAACAGATACTGGATTTTGGGGTTTGATAGTGATTTAAGCAAGTAATAGTCGGTTGTTGATATATCTGCCAATATTTTTTATATGAATACATATGGCATGCTCGAGTTATGTTAAAAAGGTGGAGTGATGGGGCCCTTGTTTATTAACCAGCAACAATGTGTTTCACAAAAGCCTTAGCACTTTACATTGAAAACAAATCACAACTCCGCACCACATTGGCTCTGCTTCGATGCGAGCTCTGCTACATGTACTGTAGCCAATGCTGAAGATTGTAAACAATGGTGTTGGGCCTGTTCTGATGGACTACTTATGTGATGATGACACATTTTTAATTTACCCCATGTATATTGGACAACATGTAAGCCTATACTGATATGCAAAAATAAAAATAAAAAAAAAATCCTGATGTTTTAGCTGATTTAATACAATAAAACTGTAGAATTTTACAGTTACACATTGTAAAAAAAAATAAAAACCATTGCCATGTGTAATAATGTCTTGATATGGACATTATTTACAGTTTTGGCTGATGTTTATTTATTTATTTATTTTTTTTACAGGAAAATTTTAAGTTAATCCTTTTTTCTGTGATTTTATTAGATGTTATGTGATTTAATAAGTGAGGGAAAATCTGTTTTAAAAAACTATTTTAAATAATGCTGGTTTCTCTTTCAAAAAAAAGCTAATATCTGTAAAATAATTTTGAAAAAAAGTGGATACAGTAAAAAAAAAAGGTTATAATTTCTGTTTAAGGATCGTGAAAGAACAAATGACCATTTTTAAAAACCATTTTTAAAAATAGTGCATTTTAATGTGAATATTATTCATAGTTTCCTGTTTTTTGACAGTTAGCACACACTTTTTTTCTGTGGTTTTACTCAATGTAACAAAACTGGGAAAATATGTAAAATAACAGTGGTTTGTTAAAAACAAACAAAAAAAACAAAACCGAAATAGTGTTCACTTCCTGTGACAGGCCAATATCAGCTAATAATATTGGCCAACTGGTATCCGTCTGATATCTGTGTGGCTCATTACATGGCTTTGGTGTTTCTAGGTAGATGCAGTTTGTGTGTGCATTCAGGGGAGCGTGTAGATGTTTGATGTCTGTGATCGATTGTCTGGGTCAAATTTCCAATACTGATTTCTGTCACAACCGAACTAAGACGTGAACCCAAATGCACAACTCAGGAGACAAAGTTCAAATAAATAATCTTTTAATGACAAAGTTTCAAATGAAAATCGCTCTTACAGAGGAAAACTACACAACAAAAATCACTCACTGAGAGGAATAACAGCAACAAAAACAAAAACACAGATGAAAATCTTCTAGGAATACTGCATAACAAAAATCACTCTTACGAGGAAAAACAATTCTAACTATCAAAAAAGGCAAGGCTGTGGTGAATACAAAGCAAAGTATCAAAAGAATGCAAAAACCTGACTCTGACAAGACAACATGGCATGGACTGGCATAGGTTCTCTGACTTTCAAAAGACAAGACAAACTGGCACAGGACAAAGGGAGACGCAGACTATATATACCCCCACAGGGGAACAGGTACAAACAATCAGGGCAGGGCAGACAATCAGACCAGTGGGAAACACACAAGGGGAAGGAGCAAGTTACCTGAAACGAGAGGAGAGTTAAATGTCAAAATAAAACAGGACACCATGACACATTGACACAAGACAAAAACTAAACTTTACATCACTTCTGGACATGACAATTTCTTGTCCCAGTCCAACCTGTCTGGATGGAGTGCATCACCCATGTACAGTTTTAACAATAACTTTAGAAATACATCTTATAAACTGCTTTCACTCAGGCCAGCATTGATCCCCATGGTTTTACTGTTTTCAGAGTCGGAGTGCGTCACCCCCCTTGTGGTGATGTTGTCTGTTATCACCAGAAAGCAGCTCATCTTATGGCAAAGCTGATGAGGATTTTCTCCACCAACACCACCATCCTTCTCCTCTGTCTCCCCTCCTTGGAGGTCCAGCTCCAAAGCAGAGGTTGTGGATGACGAGACTCTAAATGAGGAGGGAGCAGAACTCCTCTCCTCTGTTACTCTGCTCTGTGAGAGATACCGGGAGAGGAGAGGGGGTGTGCATGGAGGTGGTGGAGGGAAGGAGGCAGAATGTGTGCACGAGTGTCGTCAGCGATCGTCGTCACTGTGACTCGGAGGCAGAGAAGGGCCCTCCCCCTTCTCCTCCCGCATCCTTACCTTCTCCCCCCTCAGCCTCCACTCCATCAGCCAGTCTCCTCTCAGTCATTCTCCTCTCGCACAGCTGAGGCTCAACATCCTAACTGCCTGCCTCCTCCTCCCTCCTCCCTCCTCTCTCTCTCTCTCTCTCTCTCTCTCTCTCAGCAGCTCACACAACTCTCAGTCACTGCTGAGCACAGCCAGCGAAAAGCAGCTCAGAGCAAAGAAGGAGAAAGATACACAAGAGAGAGAGAGAAAAAAAAGAGAAGAAAAGAAAAGAAACCAGACTAAGAGGATCAGGATGAGGATGAGTGTGTTCAGTGTGCCGGCAGTTCCCTGCTGCCGTCCCACACAGATTGCACGGAGTTTCGCGTCCCCCCTGCTTCTCCTCCTCCTCCTCCTCCTGCTCCAGACCGGCACCGGCAGCAGCAGCAGCATCGGGGCCGTCTCCTCTCCTTTCCAGCTGGCCCCAGACACCCCGGCCCCAGCCGAGCCCACCCCGACCCAAGCCACACCTCGTCCGGACCCCTGCGAAGGCCGACCCTGCCTCAACGGGGGACTCTGCCTGGCCCTCCCCTCCGCCAGCAGGCCAGAGGACACCTGGGAGTATGTGTGCACATGCAGCCAGGGCTTCACTGGACGCAACTGTGAGGTAAGAACCCATTTTACTTTAACCTTCTGCATGACACGGAACTGATGCTGATTCTGTGTGTGACCTTACTGCTGAGTTTTTGCTTGAGAAGAAGACCGCACATACTGAATGTGAAGTAGAGGACAAGAAGTAGACAATGTTAGGCTGCTTGTGTGTTCATTTTGATGACTTCATCTGATTTATGCAGAGAAAACTGATTCCGTGTTCTACTTACTTAATAAAGCAGGGCATAAAAAACTCTATGTACTTCTAATTTAATATTAATGATTTCAGTTTGGTGTTTTTTTTCTTGTCTTATATGGAACTTATAATTCCTGTTATATCGTTATGAAATTTTGCTGCCACTATAACATCACAAAGGACCAACCTTTGGATGATGTTGGTAACAAACCTGCATCGTATACGTGTTTTAAAATGCATGTGTGCCACTCCGTACATCGCGATGCATAGATGTCAGTGCGTTTTCTCCTCTGTGCTTTTCACGGATGGTTTTTTAATGGGAGCATGTGCTGTCACTGAGACTCAGAGACGAGTGCTGCGTTGCTGTGGCAACAGGAAGGCGAGAGCGGCAGCAGTGAGATGCGAGTGTGAAGTGTAAATGTGTGCGAGCGTATTTACACGTACTGTACCTTTTTGTGTGTCAATGTCTGTATAGCCTGTGTGAGTATTTTGGATAAGCTGTCACATCTGGGCAAACAAAAATTGGTGCAAAGTTAGTAGACGCTGCAGCGGTGTTGAATTTGTCTGTAATGTGTGCTGAGCTGCAAACTCGGCGAGCGAATTTGTGAACACCTGGGATGCAGATGATCAGGCCAAAGTGGCTGTCTTCACGCCGCATCCATTAACTCCAAGTGAACATCTGGACATTAGTGAATAAGACAAGTGCTGCTGTCCCAGGTTGTGCAACATCTCACGTTCCTAAAGCTATACATGTCCGTCAGCATGCACTTCAGCAGAGCTATCTGTCCGTGTCAAGACCAGTTTACATGATGCAGTTTTTGAAACTATCAGTTCCAACAGGAAATTGTGTCATTATGATGGACTACATATGAGGAGTTGTTTCACTCCATTCGGAGATTATTTTCATTGTGTTTGTTTTGCAGAACAAGCAGGGTGATGAGTAATAGAGCTAAAATAAAAACACCCTCTGTATTATTGCACTCTTTGTCTCTTCCCTGATGTTGACCTACACGTCAGCTGCATACCTTTGTGCTCCTGTTACAGCCCTCCCTTATTTTAATTTAACACTTTATTGATTTTTACATAAACTGCTCTTCTGCCGGACTGCCCGAGCTTCATTTCAGCCTTAAAGTAAATGGACTGTGGTTGAGCGTCAGTAGCGGGAGGCTCGATAGGCAGCCAGGCCTCTGAGTCATGCTGGGGTGAAAGAGAGCATCCGCCAGCAGCAGAGAGGATAAATGAGTCTGCTGCAGCATCACGGAGGGAAACAGCAAGGTGACTGGGTGAACTTAAGCAGAATCACCAACAGGTGGCAGCCACATCCCCCCTTGTGTTAATGCACACAGCAGATCTTGTGTATGCATAGAAGTATTTGTGACAGAGGAAGGTGTAGACAGGTGAGCCTACTGGTAGCGTGCAGTCAGGATCGAATCCATTTAGTGGAGCGTTTAGCCAGGGACCTGATCACTGTCTCCTTGGATGTCCTGATTTCATCTCTCAGAATAGAAAGCCACTGCAGTTTGTTACCTCTGCAGCCTGCTTTTCTCTGCACAAACCACAGAGGACGGTGCTGTCACACAACCTGAGCAGCCGAGGCTGGACATCACATGCAGTGGGGGGAAAATTTCATGCAAAGAACAGAAGCCATGAGCACGGTGCCCTTCTGCAACCAAAAAACAACACTCCAGCTTTTATCCCTCCTATGTGCCAGAGCTCAGGTCCGGCACAGGCCCCAAGCTGGGCTCAGGGGGAATCATTGATTTTTGCTTCGCTCCCCTCTTGCTGGTTGTTTCTTCTCCATGGAAACTGGAGCAGCAGTCAATTGAGATTTGGTAAATGACCTGACTGGCTGAGCATGGAGCTGGTTTGCGTCTCCTGTCCTCTGCATGCGTCACAACACAGATGGTTCAGTGAGAAAGGGAGAAGAGAGACCGAAGAAAGAGATGGAGGAGGGCAGGAGGATGAATGAGTTGGAGGGGGAAAAGCAGGGAGGAGTCAAAGAGCAGGAGAAAAAAAAAAGAAGATGGCTAAAAGGAAAGAGGAGAACATGAGGCAGAAAACTACAAATCTCTTCTTACAGAGAGTAAAGCTCCAGTTTTGGAGCTTAGTCATGTACTCACCATCCTTCTCTCCTTCTCTGCTCTTTTAACTCAAATTCTGTGTCAGACCTGAGGCACGGTACACAATGCAGGAGCAAAAAACCCAACTAAAAAAAATACATTTGTACAGTGGGTTTAGCATTGAAACTTTGCGGTGCCTGTTGATTTCAGGATATTTTCGTGACTTACCTCCTTGGCTGTGTTTCATACTGCAGGAATCAAAGCAGCCTAATGCAAACCACAGCAGCAGGCACCATGGGGAAAACAAACCCACTCTACTTGTTAAACTCGCTTGGTTTTAATATCTGCTTCCATCTTTTCTGGATGGCAGCCTGTAAGCTGTCCTGTTGGAATTCACTGCCACTGGCCTTTCTGTGAGTTATTAGCTTCTCGGCCCCTTGCTTATTCATTATTGAAGGGCCTGTTGTGCGCCCTGATGGATTCGGTAGCTTGCTCTACAACACAGTAGGGCTGTGGCAGCACAAAACAGCCATCTGTCATGAAGCAAGTTCAGGGAGCTCTTGCTGGGCTGCTCAGCCATTCAGTTATATGAAAGCAGTGGGTCATAGCAGACTGAACTTAAGTTTACAGCCTTGGCATTATGAACACAGAATGCGTTTTTACTTTACTGTTCTTTGGAGAAGGTATGTGGGACCGAAGGCGGAAAAAGAGGTGATATATGGCACAGGAGTAATTTAGCTGTTTCTGCAGCAGCCAGGTCTGCCTCAGCTTAATAAGCTGGTATGAGGGTGTCAGAGCCGTGATGGACTGGAGGCTTTTTGATCCTTCTGATCCTTTTTTTTTTTTTTTTTAGATCTCAGCTGAGAGGTTTAATCACTATTCCCTCTCATCACCTTAGCGGTGCTTTCTCACTCACAGGGTCCTACTGTTACATAACCATCATTAAAGTTTTCAGGCTTCTTGCTGTGTGTGTTTTTTTTTTGGAATGTTTTCCCTTTTCTACCTCCCCTGGCTGTGTGTAGGAACATATTTAAGGAACAGTTGTTTAGTAGTAGTTAGTAGTTTAGCTTAGCATTAAAAACTTGAAACAAGGATGAACTGCAACCAGAGACTGTACATAAGAGATGAATGTAGCTGCCATGACGTCACCCACCCGTTTGCAGAATTCCATTTTAAAGCCTTAAATTTGGAATTTGGTCGTTGCCATGTTGCTCTTTTAAACCTGAACATCATGAGCTCAGAGTGGATCCAATTGAAAACTACACCCTGCTTTATCGTCCATTTTACTTTTAAATGGAACCATAGCTCCAAAAATTAACGTCACATTTTAATAAAAGTATTGAAACTAGCACTAAAAAGCCTTAAACTGATTTTTAATTTTTTTTATTCTAACATACCAAATTAGAGAAGTATCATTTTCTCATAGTCTTCTGTACAACTGAACATATTTTTGCAATTGGAGGTGTCGCCCTCTGCTGGACATTTGATAGAATACAGGCTTTAAGACACATCGGTGTAATGTACAGCCCAAAGTATGAAGGCACTAAATCTGTCCACTAGCTTTTCTTAAGCTCACTAATTACTGCTCATTTATTTATTCACAGCAAAAATCATTGGATGCAGTTTTACAAGGAGTGATTTATGGGGTTATTTCTCAGCCAGAAGCACTTTTAACACTTTTAGCTTTTGGACAGAACTGTGAGATGCTTCCATGACTTGCAGTCTTAATGCTAAGCTAAGCTAACTATGTTTTGGTTCTCAAACTTCCCATTTTACAGACACACAAACATGTTATATCTCATTTTTTTTTAGACAGCACATAAACCAAGTGTAAAATTAATAAATATTACTGTGAGTTCCTCCTGCACTATTTCTTGGTCACTTCCTAGTAGGGCTGCATGATATTAGAAAAAAAACTGACATTTATACACTGCGATATGAAAAAACAGCTTAGTAAACATAGCGTGGTGATAACGTACCAACTACAACATGCAGTCTTTGGCTAAAGCTCTGCACACTGGTCCACTTGTTCATCGCATGGTCTGTTGTTCTACAGACCTGAGGTCTCTTAGCAAATGCTTCGCTCATCGTTGTGATGTTCCGACTTGTATGATCATCAATGGAAAATGCCGTCCCCAAACAGCAACTTTTCATTTGGAAAGTTATCATTAATAAAGTAGCCTGTAAGACTTTTGTAGCATTCCATTGTCCAGCTGGACCACAAACCTACTGTAGCTGAATAATATTCCACTTGTGACAGCTTTGTGATTGCAACTTGAGAAAACTAGGTGCGAGGTGTGTTACATACCGCCTGTAAAGCGACTGGATCATGTTTTTAAAACACTCTTTCGTAAATGTGTTAATTGGCATCATGCTGTTTGCGAGGTGAAAAACTTATCACATCATTGATTTTTCTCTGCAGTTTGGAATCTTTGTCATGTGGTACATCTGGCAAAGGCATCCATGATATTTTATTTATTTATTTTTGCTTTGGATGACATTCAGATCTGAGTGTGCCCTTGTCATACAGAGCTTTGTAATGGCGATTTAAATGGTCAAACAAATTACTTGTGATGCCTCGTGGTTATTATTGCAAGACACTGCCAACAAAGTACCTGTGTTTGGTCACATCATCCTTATTGTAGCTGAAATATATTCCATACAGATGTTGCATTTCATTTGCACTTCTTTTTCTGGTGTTTCTCTCCTATTCCTCACTCATTTTGCCGTGCACATGTGAAGCCTGCATGGCAACAAACT